TGGTGTGTGATGTGTGTGGTGTGTGTGGTGTGTGATGTGTGTGGTGTGTGATGTGTGTGGTGTGTGATGTGTGTGGTGTGTGATGTGTGATGTGTGTGGTGTGTGTGGTGTGTGATGTGTGTGGTGTGTGATGTGTGTGGTGTGTGATGTGTGTGGTGTGTGATGTGTGTGGTGTGTGATGTGTGTGATGTGTGTGGTGTGTGATGTGTGTGGTGTGTGATGTGTGTGGTGTGTGATGTGTGTGGTGTGTGATGTGTGTGGTGTGTGGTGTGTGTGGTGTGCGGTGTGTGATGTGTGTGGTGTGTGGTGTGTGGTGTGTGTGTGTGTGGTGTGTGTGTGTGGTGTGTGTGTGTGGTGTGGTGTATGTGTGTGGTGTGTGTGCGTGTGTGTGGTGTATGTGTGTGGTGTGTGTGGTACGTGAAATTAAATTTAAATTAATTTCAAATTTATTTTTAACAACTTCTCCATAACCCCTCGTAACACAACATCTGTATGCTTGCCCTATCATTGTTACCATTATCGATTTTTACAATGCATCGTTCGCGCATGATCTGCTAATATCGGCGCATAGCCAATAGCGATTCTTTCAGCCACGAGTTCATATAAAACCTAAAATGGTGAATTGGTTCTTTCTTTCTGGTGTTTAAAGTCAAAAAGTGCTAGCGTGTCGATAAATTTAATAAAATGAATTGCTAGTAATTATCTTTCTCTAATTTGTGTCTATTAAGTGTGAACGTTGGGATAATTGTTTTGTAAATGTTTTTTTTTTGTTCCCATTTTGCTGGATTTCGTTGCAAAACCGAAGCTCCGCCATGTGCTTTTTTTTTATTACCACCATGCTGGAAAAAGCCGGTTTCTATATTTTATTTCATTTTATATAGATTATAGCTACCCTAACTAATAATATTTTTTTTAAGCTTTCTTATATCTATTAATATAAATGTGTTATCATTGAATTACTTTGATATATACGCGGGGAGGCAACTAAATAATTGAATTACAAGTCATTTTGGAAATACAGTTTAAACGGAAATTTATGGCTCCTAACTTATTTTTGCCTTATAAATATTTTATATTCTGATGTAACTTTGATATTCATTCCGTTTATGCATAAATCCGTTAGATTTCCAAACTGGCATGTATATGTACTTTTACACACGGTACTCAGGTTCTTTTATTTCTAAACCTGTAGTGGCTCCTCCCAGTATCCAAGAAGCCTCCAAGAAGTACTCCTCCCAGTATCCAAGAAGTACTCCTCCCAGTATCCAAGAAGTACTCCTCCAAGTATCCAAGAAGAATACTCTATACCTTCAAATATTGTCTCCAACAAGAAGAGGCTACTCTACCGCTAAGTACTGTCTTTACTGTCTCAAAGAAGAAGTACTGTCTCCAAGAAGAGTACTCTACCTCCAAGGACCGTCTCTAAGAAGAAGCTCTAAAACGTATTAATGAACTTAAGTGGTTAAAAGTTAACAATTTATTTCAGCTACATTTTCTAACTTTCTTGTACCGTTTATTTAAAAATAGGATTCCATTATACTTGTTTGAAAAGGTAATTTTTAGAAATGCCGTCCACAATTGTAACATCCGATTTAATACTCTTACAATGCCACACCATTCTACTGCACTGTATGAGCGTTCTTTTACCTATAATTTAGTTAAGTTTTATAATTTGTTTCAGCATCTTATGTATCTACCTTCAATTAACAATTTTCGTTACACTATTAAAAATATTCTCCTTAACAGGCAATAAATAATTGTTTTCTGAACATTTAATTTAAATTCTATTTTATATTTTTTACTTAATTACTATTGTTTGACAACTCTTTTAATGCTTTTGTCCTTTTTTAACTACTTTTTTCATTTATTTATTTTCATTTTCTTTTGTAAACCAAGAAGGTTAAGAGTTAAAGAGTAGCTTCAGCTAATCTTCGCCTTCTTGGTGCAAATGTAATGTAATAATTTATTTAATAAAGACATTATTATTATTATTAAGAAGCTCCAAACTCCTCCAGGAAGCTCCTAGTTGCCTCTAACTATAAAAAGGAAAGTACCGTATCTACGTACTAAAATACCACCATCTATCAGTATCGTCAGTAAATTTTATTACTCATTCATTCAACTCATTCACTATTTAATTTGTAAAATTAATCTTTCACTTTTTTAATAAATGTATTAAATTTTCTCAGTTTCTTTTATTTGCCACAACTCTTACAGATAACTTTAAGTACCAGAGACAGACTCAATTAAACAGGATATTTAAAATCAGAAGTTTTCCAAGTTACTGAAAAACTTGGTGGGGCTCAACTTTTTTTGTCGTTGCTTTACTTTAATATCTTTCGTTTTATCTTACAGTAGATCGTGGCCCGCGAACAGGTCAAGCCACTCTAATTTTATTTGTCCTGGTCAATTTTTGAATCCACACATGTCAACAATTTGAGCTAAATTACTTATTAAATAATTAACAACATAGAAATCTAGAAAAAAGGTGTGTATGGTGTGTGTGAATAGCCTTCCAAATTTTTCGACTAAAAATTTTTTTGTGTCCGATCTTGATGAAAATTGGGGTATATATGAAGGAAAGCACGAGCAATTAAGGGGTGAACTCAGTTGCTCCCTAGCTATAAGGGTTAACTTTTTTTTCTTAATTCCTCAGTTAATAATAATCGAATTATTCCATAAATTCACATAAAGGTAGAGCCGGACGGATAGTTTAAAATGCCCTCTGCGGCTTGCCTCTATCTTGAGCCGTTTAGTCGTTATTCACATTTAAAAATAAGTCAAATACCTTGTCGCGTTTCTGCTATCCTGATACCAAAATTTTGTAGACAAAATTGGATCTTTTCGAATTCGGAACTTTGTATCAGGATAATAGACAAGCGAGGAGATATCAAAAATTTTTATTTTTGCCACAACTTTTTTAATATTGCTGTTAGAAAAAAACTGAGTATATTTTTGAGATCTACATGTGACCTTCTATCCGTATGCAAATTTAAACTGGTTTTTATTTTTTCAAAAAAATCGAAAGGGTATAGCCTTCCAAAATTTTCGACTAAAAATTTTTTTGTGTCCGATCTTGATGAAAATTGGGGTACATATGAAGGAAAGCACGAGCAATTAAGGGGTGAACTCAGTTGCTCCCTAGTTATAAGGGTTAACTTTTTTTTCTTAATTCCTCAGTTAATAATAATCGAATTATTCCATAAATTCACATAAAGGTAGAGCCGGACGGATAGTTTAAAATGCCCTCTGCGGCTTGCCTCTATCTTGAGCCGTTTAGTCGTTATTCACATTTAAAAATAAGTCAAATACCTTGTCGCGTTTCTGCTATCCTGATACCAAAATTTTGTAGACAAAATTGGATCTTTTCGAATTCGGAACTTTGTATCAGGATAATAGACAAGCGAGGAGATATCAAAAATTTTTATTTTTGCCACAACTTTTTTAATATTGCTGTTAGAAAAAAACTGAGTATATTTTTGAGATCTACATGTGACCTTCTATCCGTATGCAAATTTAAACTGGTTTTTATTTTTTCAAAAAAATCGAAAGGGTATAGCCTTCCAAAATTTTCGACTAAAAATTTTTTTGTGTCCGATCTTGATGAAAATTGGGGTACATATGAAGGAAAGCACGAGCAATTAAGGGGTGAACTCAGTTGCTCCCTAGTTATAAGGGTTAACTTTTTTTTCTTAATTCCTCAGTTAATAATAATCGAATTATTCCATAAATTCACATAAAGGTAGAGCCGGACGGATAGTTTAAAATGCCCTCTGCGGCTTGCCTCTATCTTGAGCCGTTTAGTCGTTATTCACATTTAAAAATAAGTCAAATACCTTGTCGCGTTTCTGCTATCCTGATACCAAAATTTTGTAGACAAAATTGGATCTTTTCGAATTCGGAACTTTGTATCAGGATAATAGACAAGCGAGGAGATATCAAAAATTTTTATTTTTGCCACAACTTTTTTAATATTGCTGTTAGAAAAAAACTGAGTATATTTTTGAGATCTACATGTGACCTTCTATCCGTATGCAAATTTAAACTGGTTTTTATTTTTTCAAAAAAATCGAAAGGGTATAGCCTTCCAAAATTTTCGACTAAAAATTTTTTTGTGTCCGATCTTGATGAAAATTGGGGTACATATGAAGGAAAGCACGAGCAATTAAGGGGTGAACTCAGTTGCTCCCTAGTTATAAGGGTTAACTTTTTTTTCTTAATTCCTCAGTTAATAATAATCGAATTATTCCATAAATTCACATAAAGGTAGAGCCGGACGGATAGTTTAAAATGCCCTCTGCGGCTTGCCTCTATCTTGAGCCGTTTAGTCGTTATTCACATTTAAAAATAAGTCAAATACCTTGTCGCGTTTCTGCTATCCTGATACCAAAATTTTGTAGACAAAATTGGATCTTTTCGAATTCGGAACTTTGTATCAGGATAATAGACAAGCGAGGAGATATCAAAAATTTTTATTTTTGCCACAACTTTTTTAATATTGCTGTTAGAAAAAAACTGAGTATATTTTTGAGATCTACATGTGACCTTCTATCCGTATGCAAATTTAAACTGGTTTTTATTTTTTCAAAAAAATCGAAAGGGTATAGCCTTCCAAAATTTTCGACTATAAATTTTTTTGTGTCCGATCTTGATGAAAATTGGGGTACATATGAAGGAAAGCACGAGCAATTAAGGGGTGAACTCAGTTGCTCCCTAGCTATAAGGGTTAACTTTTTTTTCTTAATTCCTCAGTTAATAATAATCGAATTATTCCATAAATTCACATAAAGGTAGAGCCGGACGGATAGTTTAAAATGCCCTCTGCGGCTTGCCTCTATCTTGAGCCGTTTAGTCGTTATTCACATTTAAAAATAAGTCAAATACCTTGTCGCGTTTCTGCTATCCTGATACCAAAATTTTGTAGACAAAATTGGATCTTTTCGAATTCGGAACTTTGTATCAGGATAATAGACAAGCGAGGAGATATCAAAAATTTTTAT